GGTCCCGGGGGTGAAGGGGTGTGAGGGGAGGTTGGGGGTTGCAGACTAGTAGACTGGGATGCAAGGCCGAGGCGGGGGAGGGCCTGCCTGCATCTGCCACGGTCAGCGGCCTCACCCCTGGTGCCCACAGCATCAGCCTCCCCCGCCCCAGCAAGCCGGCAGGCGCCAGGACCGCCCCAGCCACGCACCCCTCGGACCCCGCCCCGTTGCGCGCCGCCATGTCCACCATGATGAGCCCGATGAGCCGGCCCACGCACGCTCCTATCAACAGCATGGGCACGAAGACGCCTGGCAGAGTGGGGGGGGGGGGGGGGCACATGTCAGCGGGATGGATGTGCTCGTCTGGTAGGAGTGGGCCTGCAGCTGCGCACAGGCCCGTCCACGCGGGCTTCTTGGAATGGGATCCGCCCATGCAGCTTCCCGGCTCCTCGCGCTGCCCCCCGTTGGTCAACCCTCGCCGGCGCCCCACGCCGAGCCCCACCAGCAGCCAGAGGAAGCCACAGCCCGACCACCCCCGCCCACCCGAGGCGATCGCAGACCCTGCTGTCCAGGCCGCCCCCAGGAAGTACCACACCAGCATGACCACCAGGGCCGCATACCCAAACTCGCGGTGTGTGCCCCGCGAGAAGAGGTGCCGGATCGCGTCCTCGCCTGTTGGAGTGGAGGAAAGAGGCGGATGGGGGGAGTACCATCAGGCACTGTTGCTTGTGTTGGTGGAGCACAGAGTCGGCACGAACCGCTCCGATCTGGGCAGCATGCTTCCCCACATCTCAGACTTGTAGCCTCGCATGGCCGTCGGTCTGTGTGAAGATTTGATTCTTGCCGGACATGAACCCGAGCATCCTCCCTGGCACAGGCAGTCCCTCCACCCAGGCCCCGTCCACCGCTCCCACTCTCTCCCCTCACCCGTGACGCTCATGAGCGTCGCCAGCTCGTTGTAGGAGGAGGGGATGGTGATGTTGCCCTTCCCGCCGGGGCCGTCGGCGTCGCCCGGGCCGCCCCCACCATGCACCTGGCTGGTATGCGAGGTGCGGGAGCAGGTGAACAGCTCCAACGTCTCCTCCACCACTCGGCTGCAAACACAGGAGGGCGGGAGAGGTGGGACAGCGGCATCAGCGAGGGGACTGCGCATGGTGCGGCACGTGAGCTGCTAGTTTGTTGAGGATGGGCGCTCAGATGGTTTGCTACCGGGCATTAGTTACCTGACCCCCCCCCTCCTTTGAATAGGGTTACTCACTGGACGTATTCGGGTTGGCCATCGGGGCAGATTGGTGTGGTCTCCCCCTGCAGCACCACGCACTGAGGGGCCAAGGAGCAGAGGGATGGGTGCCTGCCATTGATATCTGGTGACACACTGCAACGATGGTAACGCACCGTGCACGATCACCACACCAAAAACGCCCTTGGCCCAGTTGCCATTGGCGTTGCCACTGGGGCACTGCAGCGTCTCCCCTTTCCGATCTTCAGGAATAGGACCCCCCTTCCCCCAAAGATGGGTCGTTTCCCCCAGCGCCCCCTCCCTCCAAAACAATCCTCCTCACCTGGGTAGGTGTGCAGGGGAAGAAGAGGGGCAGGATCATGCCCATGGTCACGAAGAGCATGATGAGGATGCAGGGCTCTGCCATGCGCAGGCGGCGGTCGGGGTTGATGACGCTGCCCCTGAAGCGGATGACCTTCAGGTTCATGATGGTGAAGGCCACGGCCAGGAGGCCGCAGAGCAGGCCGCAGAGGGCGGCGGGGACCATGGCCATGACGTGGTTGTTCAGCTGGGTATAGACCTCAAAGAAGACGGTGGAGGACTCGCGGTCGAACAGGCCAAAGGTGCCCTCCTGCAGCGCCGACTCGGCGCTGCGCAATGTGTCGACTGTCAGCACTGCAATCATGTTGGCGAAGAAGATCTGCCAGCTGAGCGCCTGCTGCCAGAAGGAGGCCACCTCCTCAAACACGTACAGCATGCCGCCGATGGGCGCAGAGAAGGCGGCGGCAATGCCGACCGCGGCGCCCACGGTCACAAAGTCGCGCTTGTCTTTGGGGTTCTGGAAGCGGCGGAAGAGGCCCGAGTCGCAGCCCAGGGTGGTGGAGTGGCCCTGGCTCATCCCGGAGGCTGTGAAGGGTGGTGTTGTGAAGGGGGAGAGGGGATGTGACCACTTGTTCCTCAAAGCTGTCCATGCGCATGTACATGTGACAGTTTCATGGGGCCATGCTGGTGGCAATGGGGGGAATTGCATGTGCCCTCAAATGTGCCATGTCATCAGCCACCTTGTAACTCAATCCACAAAGCTTCTGTCCCCTTGATCCCCCAAACATCATCCCTTTCCACATGCACAAACATCCCAGACCCCCTTTTGTATTTGATACCCACCAATGATGGCCCCCATGTGGACCATGGGCCCCTCTGGTCCGACAGGCAGGCCTGAGGCGACAGCGGTAGCAGCAGACAGGAACTTGACACCCAGCGTCTTGATGTTCAGAATCTGCCGGGGAGGTATGTGATGCGAGAGTGAGGTGCACGCAGGCAGGGATACATGTAGAGTTGAAGACTCTTCTGCACTTTCAACCCTGCAGCCGACATGAAAGCCCCTGGGCTATCCCCTTCTCCTGCGTTTGCACATTCACCATCCTCCTTCGTGCGCTCCCCCTCCATGATCTCACCTTGGGGATGTTGCATCCATTTAGGTAGGCCGAGACCTCTGCCACCCCAGCCCCGGCTGCCTCGGGTGCAATGTTGACCACCAGCCAGGTGGAGCAGTACACCAAGCCCAGGGAGTAGGAAAGGTTGAAGATCCAGCTCAAGATGACATGGGTGTGCGTCAGCAGCCACCTGGAGGGGTACGTGGGTGGGAAGGGCGGGTTGGAGAGAGGGTGCGTTGGGAGACATTCCCCAGCTCGGTCGCACATCACCCTACTCCCATCTGCTCCCGCTCCAGCAGCCCGCACCTGGTGCTCGCGATCTTGATCACAGCCAGGATGTGGATGAGGAGGTGCAGGAGGAAGCCGGTGATGCCCACCGCAATGCCGATGGCCGCCATCATTATCCAGCGATCCCAGTACCGCTGCCATGGCTGAGAGGGGTGAGTGAGGGAAAGGCGCAGTGTTTGTCGAGAGAATCACCCAGAGACCTCCCTCGTGTGCAGAGCGAGGCCCTCTAGGCAAATCCAGGCATGAGATACACATGTGCACACCTCCCTCTTATGCCATTGAAACCCCCCACTTGCGTGCCTGGGCGGATAGCCATTGCCGGTACACACGGCTGCTGGGGGCGAGGTAGTCGATGCTCTGCATCTGCTTCAGGCGCGCCTTCTCTGCTCGTGCCACGCGTGAGTGGGTGGGAATGGTTGTGCGGCATGCGCTGCACGCATCCGCCAGATGGGCATGGCGGCACAGCACAACTGCCTGCTTGCTCCGCCAGGGCGCCCTCTCCCAACCCCCCCCCCCCCCACCCTGCCGTGCTGTACTTGTGGTTCTTCCCGGCGCCCTCCACAGTGTTGCCTCGCAAGAACAGCTGTCTCACGGTGTTCCGGAACCCGCCCATGCGCCGGCCCTCAAAGTCGGTGCTGCTCTCCTCCACGGGTGCAGAGGTGTCGCGCCTCTCCTTGTACTGGTGCAGGGGGGCCTGCTCGCCATACGTCTCCCCACTGGATGTGCTGGGCTGATCATTCTCATGACGCGGGTTGTCACCTGTGGTGCGGGAAAGACTGGCGTGACGCGGTGTTGCGCTGACCGGTCTCTCCCATGCAATGCATGGTCCGGCAGGGCGCGAGGCAGTTCCCCTTGGGCATTCATGCGCGGAGACGACCCACCTATCCTCTCTTCATCTGGGGTGAGAGTGAACAGACCAGGTCTCCCAACGGCCATTCCCGGAGACCCTCCAGCCTTGGGGTGCGATGCGGGCCTGGGATGCCGCGTTCCGACCGGGGGTGTGAGCGGTTGCGGGCAAGTCGTGCAAGGGAGCCCAACGGGTCCGGCTAAAGCTCACTACCTTACTCAAACACGTCTAAATAGATTTCCAAAACACCCGACTCCCAGGGAGGCACGCCCACGTCCAATGAAAGGGGACGACTTAACCCCACTCTCGGACCACCGCACGCTCATCACGCGCGCACAAGAGAAGTTCGAACATGGGAGGGCGAGGGATGAGAGTGTGCGCCATGCCTGTGGCCTCATCGACCACTCCGCTGTAGGAAATGGCAATTGACAACCATCTTGACAAAGCGACAGGGATTGTGCGCGATGGCAGAGTGAGGTCTTGAGTAGCAAGGGGTATTGCGCCCTTGCTCAAGATAGCATCGGGACTTACCGAGCCCTCTGTGCACCTGTCGATCTTCTCGCCGCGTACAATGCTGGCAAAGAAAAGGAAAACCCCAGGCAGCCAGTCTAGAATGAAGAATGATCCAGACGCAGCAGGTAAGTGGTGGTGGAGCTGTCACCCCATAACCATCAAAAGCCATGAACTGAACTTGAGGTAGGACCTCCAGCTCCTTCCCATTCCCCTGCAGGACCCTCATCGCAGCCCTCGCCGTCTCAAGAACACACCCTCCGCCTGACTCCTACCGAAGCAAGGACACTTGCGCAGAAGGTGAGCTTCCTGGCATGGTGTCACCTTACTCCTGCATTTGGTAACAACCTCGTTGCACACTTTTATTGTGGGAAAGGTGTTTCTCTTTCAGCATGATGGTGGTGTATGTATACATTCACCTCATGCTGCAGTCTATCTTGTCAACCGCAGCTCAAAGAGGCAGAGCTGCTGGGCAATCGCAGCTGTTCAAGGACTCACATCTCCCAGCAGGTAGGTAGGCATGCGGGGGCTGGGACTGGTAACTTTGATTTTGTGTTCCCTACGGACCGCACGCAGCCTCTAGAATGATCATCGGTCAATTTTTCAAGGTTGCCTACCACTTTGCCCCCTATCACTGGACCAGTGCAGGAGGAAGCCAACCTCGTCCAAGCAGCGCTGCGCTTCCTCCTCTTCCGGCACGCCTCCCGCCCCGGGGTCCCCATTCCCCGCTCGGAGCTTGGCGCGGCCCTGAGCGCGGCCAGGGAGGGCGCCCACCTGCACCAGTCCGTCAGCCAGTGAGTCGTTGGGTGGCGCCTATCGCAGGGACGGGAGGCTACTCTGCATGCACTGGCCGCCCTCCCATCTCCTTGCTGTGGACCCCTCCCCTCCAAGTACCATTCCCTCCCGATCACCATAGGATCGTGCCGCTCAAAGCGCGCTGGCTCTTGGCCTCCAGGTTTGGCATCTTGGCGCGCGAGGTGACTCGGTCCACCAAGCCGGTGACTCTCCAGAGCCAGGTGGAGGACGATGCACCGGCCTCGCAGGCGGGGACCAAGCAGCGCTACTATGTGCTGGAGAGCCTCGTGCCGGCCCGACTGGCCGCCGCCGCCCCCCTGGACACAGGGGCTGGGCCTCGGCGGGCCCTGCTCATCGCCGTGCTTTCCATCCTGCACCTGGCCGGGGGACGCGTGGACCAGGGTGTGGTGCCGTGGGAAGGCAGCTGGAGGGTTTTTGAGCCATGGCACTTTGCTGTGAGCTGCAGAGCCGCCTCGTCGAACTTCTGGTTGGGACTGCCCATCTCTTTACTCAGACCAACGGCCCGTCCCCGCCTCAGATGAGCTGTGGCACCACCTGGCGGAGCTGGGGGTCCACAAGGGGGACAGGCACCATCCGGAGCTTGGGAGCGTGGACGAATGCCTGGAGCTCTTCGTCGCGCAATGGTGCGGCGGGGTGGAGGAGTATGGATGCACGTGCCAAGGCTGGGTGCAGTCTGAAGAGCTCCCGCCTGGGTTTTCCTGACACACCCACAACAACCAAATGTGCTGTCCGGGAGCAGGTACATCAACGTCAACAAGGACAGGAGTGGGTCGGGCGAGGGGATGACCTACTCAATCGGAGGTGGGTGAGGTGCTTGGGTTGGGGTAGCTGGAGCTGCGAAATCACAACTCCAGGGTCCGTGGCTGAGAATTGAGGCGCACGAATCAATCCAGCAATCCTTTCCTTCCTCTGCAGAGCATGCAGCCAGTGCGTTCAGTGGTGCTATTCCCGAATTTCTGCAAGGACTGCTCCAGGAAGAGGAGGAGCCTGAGGATGACTGTATCATGATCCTAGATGATTAGACTGCCAAACAGGATGCACCGTGCCAGGCAGGACCAACCTCTCACCACTTCTGACCATTGGTTTGACTCGACAAAATCACAAGCAGCGGAAGCCTTCGCCAATGTTGACCTTCGTGAGCAACAGAAAAAGGCACATGATCCCCCTGGCGTGGAAGGATACCGGATTTGAATGATGACTACACACACACAGGAGCGAGGGCGACGAAACGGGGAAACAATGCAAAGGTCCGCACGAAGCAAAGTCTCCCAATCTATAACAGCACAAACGACTCAATTTTATGGTCACGCTTTCGTAGGCGTGGTGTAGCTCGCAAGATGTCGCTGGCAGCTGCATGGGTGAGGTCACAGAGCTGGAGTGTGACGGGCAACCGCCCTTCTGAAGACAAGAGTCCCTCCTAGTCCCTCCTACTCAATAGTTCCGACCCTTTTGCGTGCAGAGGCGATTGGCCTATGTTGCAGGGGGCGCGTCGGCGGGCTTCTTGGCATCATACAGGCATGACTTCAAGCAGCTGGAGTTCGATGTGGCAGCGCTGTCAGGTACGCCAGAATTGCTGGGTCCCATCGACACTGACCAACCCTCGAGGGGGTGTCAACATGTCTCATTCTGGGTGCAGGGCCTGCATTGCGATTCCTGGACGGCGAGACAGCGCACAATGTAGCCATCTGGGCGGCGGCACATGGCTTGCTGCCCAAGGAGACCCGTCCAGACCCCCCCAGCCTCAGAACGACCGTGTGGGACCGGGACTTCCCAAACCCGCTTGGTGTGTGTGTGTGTGCGTAGGGTTGTTGATTAGGGGATGCGGGGCTCGGTCAGGCTGGGTGCTGGCGAGTTGCGTGTGCAGCTTTGGTCGCCAAGCCGTTGCAAAGCACAAGGCTGCTCAAGGGGGACTGAGGAGGCTTCCAGAACCTGTTATTTCAGTGCATCGCATCGCCTTTGATACCTATTCCATAGGCCTGGCAGCTGGGTTCGACAAGAGTGCAGAGGGGCCTGAGGCCCTCTTAAACCTAGGATTTGGGTTTGTCGAGATTGGTGAGTATCCCCCAAGCAAGCAACGACAGGGGGTTGTAAGGCGGCTCCCCATGTTTGAGGTGTTCTGAGGTGTATACTCACTGCACTTTGAGCCGGCCTGGAGCTAGAGGCTTGGCACGCTGCTCGCATCCATGTCCACGTGCTCCGCCCCACCTCCCCTGCAGGCTCGGTCACTCCGCTCCCTCAGCCCGGAAATGCAAAGCCTCGGGTCTTCAGGATAGAGGAGGAGGGGTAGGTTGGGGGTGTTGAGGGGACGTCATGGCAGCTGCTGACCATGCATCGCGCCAGCTTGTGTGAACCAGGCTGGAATGTTCTGTCTTGGCCCAGCAAGCCGGCAGGTTCTGATGACTTGCCTGCACCCCAACAAGATCTCCCACTGCTGTCCTGACAGGGCTGTGATCAATCGATATGGGTTCAACAATGACGGCGTGGACGCCGTCCGCCAGCGGCTGAAGACCTTCCGCAACCGGTGAGGCAGTCTGGCGGCGAGCATCTCGTCCATCGGACCCGAGGCATATATTCATGTCGAGGGCAGGCGGAACTCTGCGCGATGCAGAGCTCTCCGTCCCCTGAAAACTCCATCCTTTCCACCCCCCCTGCTCCCCCTCACACCCCTCAGGCAAGATGACCCCAGCACCAGCACCCCTGCGGGCCTGCTGGGCGTCAACCTGGGCAAGAACAAGGCCACCGAGGACGCCGCCGCCGACTACTGCATCGGGGTGGCCAAGCTGGCACGCCTTGCCGACTACCTGGTCATCAACGTGTCGTCGCCCAACACACCTGGTGCGGGTGGAGGGTACATGGGCTACTGGGTGCACGCTGTGACATCCTCCGTGCCAGCGACATGCCCGCTCGCTGCCGGCGATTCGTGCCCCCCTCTACAGCGATTCCGCCTGGCCCCATGCACAGGCCTGCGCGCCCTCCAGGGCAGGCGGGAGCTGCAGTCCTTGGTCCGGCGGGTCAAGGCCGAGCGGGATGCCCTGGCCTGGCACGGGAAGGTGTGTTGACGTTCTCCTTGACGCTGTGTTGGGTATTGGCATGATGCCCCAGTGCCAGACCTGCATCTTTGGACATTGTTGGTAGTTGTCAGCCATGGCAGACTATGGTGCCATGCATGCTCCCGGCAGGCGTCTGCCTTGTCAAGGCAGCCTGCAAGTGCCCCGTCTCTCTGCAAAGGATCGTGTCCCACCCTTTGCCACCCCTCACTCCCATCAACTCATGCAGCCCGCCCCGCCGCTGCTCATCAAGATCGCGCCCGACCTCACGGCGGAGGATCTGGGGGACATTGCCGCCGTGGCGCTGTCCGAGGGCGTTGATGGCCTGGTGGTCTCCAACACCACCCTGGAGCGCCCGCCAGGCGTCGCGGCGCACCCCGCCGGCGCCGAGGCCGGCGGATTGAGCGGGGCACCCCTCTTCGAGCGCAGCACGGCGGTGCTGGGGCAGTTGTACCGCCTCACCCACGGCCGCCTGCCCCTGATCGGCGTGGGCGGCGTGTCTACGGGGGAGCAGGCCTACCGCAAGATCCGCGCGGGGGCCTCCCTGGTGCAGCTGTACACGTCGCTAGCGTTGAGCGGGCCGGCGCTGGTGCGGCGCGTGAAGCTGGAGCTGGCCGCCTGCCTCGCCCGCGACGGCTTCAAGTCCGTCGCTGATGCGGTGGGCGCCGACCATCGCAGGGACGCGCAGGGTAGAAGGGCTTGAGTAATTCAATGGGAGTGGTTCTGAGGACTCCAGGCCTGCACTGTCTGTTTGAAAATCCAACCCTGTCCCAAACTGTGTGAGAGTCTGTCACAGGAATCGACATTTACACTCGATTTGTTCCTGGCCAGTTCCTGCGTGGCTACTGCTCGTCGCCGGCGGAAAAGTCTATCCAGTTCTGAGGCAGGGCCTCCTGCTTCATGGAGGGGTCCCACCACTTGGACTGCTGCACCTGCGACTGCGGGGTGTCCAGTGATAGGGTGCTGCGTGAACACACTGGCGCTCGTCATCGAGCGTTTGTATGCCAGTGGGAGACTTGCGACGGTCCTTGGGCACTGCTCGGATTGCAGATAATGCAAGAGGGAGCATTCTGATCATCCAACAGTTCAACCACGAGCGTCGCCGCCTCCCCACCCTCAAGGCTACACCCAGACACCCCCATACCTTGGTCTGCTTGAGGAAGCGCTCCCAGGTCTTGCGCGCATGCTCATCCATCTCCATCTCCTCCAGCACACCTGGAAGGGAGGGCGCTGAATGTTACACAGTGCTTAAAAAAGCATGCGCTGCCCCACACAGGGTCGGTCTCGTCCACACTGGCCTCCTCGTGCCTGGGATGGGGCTGCTGCTCCGCCTGATGTCAGCCCTGAGACCGTCCAGGTCTGCAATCGACGTCAGGAAAGGATTGCTTTCCTCCACGGCATCGCCCTGAGCGAAATTCCCACCCGCCCCTGGTGTAAAAGGGTTCAGAGGGACGTCTGAGACCGTGGCCAGTCTGTCTGTCGGTGGGGACGCCGGCTGCATCTCCCCTGCCGGACCCGGCGCAGCTCCGTTTGCCTCAGCGCATGCGCCTTGCGCAGCGTCGGTGTCGGCGCCGGCCGCCAGCACCCTGCCTTTCCTGCTGACGGCCTGGAACACTGCATGAGGGGGATCGTGGGTCCTGGCAAGATTCACTCAAGTATCCTTGTGCTATGAGAAAGCCATGCGAGTCCCTCATCCCTGCCAACCCACCAGTGGCATCCGTGGAGGCAGCGGCTTGGACAGGTGACAAAACCCTGCTCAGGCGGTTGCTGAGCGCTCGGAGGTCTGGCCGGGACGCAGCCGCACTGGCGGCTGCTGCAGCGGCCCTGGCGGCGGCAGAGCGGCGCCGAGCAGCACGCGACCGCGCCAGCGCCAGGGAGGCCGCACACAGGAGGGCGGCCCCGAGGCAGATGGCGGGTGTGGGGACGACGGGCGCAGGGAGGCGGGGCAGGGCCTGGGAGACCGCCGTCCATGACCCCCGGACCCTCCCAGCCACGGCAGCCGCGCCTGTCCAAGGTATGGGGCCCTTGGTCCCTGTCGCCGACTCCTTCGCGCGCTCAGGGGCAGCGGCAACGTAGTTGCGCTGCAAGGCGCCGCGATGACGCCGCCGGTGCCGGGGCCGCCGGTCAGAGGGGCCGTGCATGCGGCCCCCGCGCCGGGGTCCGCCCAGCGTCGCCCCCTTGCTCTCCTCGGCATCGGACTGCTGACCAGGGGACCCCAGGAGGGCGTCACGCCACTCAGCCTGCACATGCTTGATCTTGCGCGCCAGGTCGGCGGCCAGCCTGTTCAGGCTGGCTTGGAGGGCCTTGAAGGTCTCCCGCGGCACCGCCAGCCACTGCCTGAGCCTGGCAGGCTGGACCAGCCGGCCCAGGGCGGACAGGGAGTGGGCCAGCAGGTCCGACACCTCCTGCAGCACGCGAGCAGCTGCACATGCAGCCTGCTGCGCGGCCCTGTGAGTGCTCGAGAAGAGCTGGAGCGCCTGAGGGTGCTGGGCCAGGCCCCAGACCTGCTGCATGGCCTTTTGTGCTCTGTGGGCGATGAGGCTCCAGGCCTCAAGGACAGCTTTGGGCACAGTGATTCCAGAGGCCAACTCAGACACTGTCGAGCTCAAAGCCCGCAGGGGCAGGGCATGTGGACCTGTGTGTGCAGTGGTGACATTGGATTGGCAGGCCTGCATGGTAAACGGCGTCCTTGGACCTGTGGCAGTCCCACAAAGTCTCCCCTCTCCAATCAGCCACTCCTGCCCACCACCACTCAAGCAGCGCACCAGTGGGATGCATCGAGGCGTGTCGCGCAGCAACACGCACCATTCCGCGCAGCCGTTTCTGCACGGCGAGGGAATGATCGATACTGAAGTATCGGTGAGTCCGCAGCTCGCCTTGGGTGCTACACATAGTGACCTACCACAGATATCGCAATCCACCAACCTCACCCTCTGCATCTCGACACGATGGGTCAGAGACCTCCCATTCGAGGTCATCATCATGCTTATATCATGTGTTGAACGATGGGCATGGATCAGCTGACCCAGAGGGAGGGTTGCCATCGGCACAGCTGCCGGTGGACAGAGCCCCACGCGATTATGAATGAGTTGATTTGATTATGTTGTATTCTGGTCGAAACATCTCTGGCTGATACTTTCCTGGACACCACTGTCTATGAAGTATCTGCTGACTGCCAGCTGCTCCGGCGTATTTTGAGCTCGGCGCGCGAGGATCCATGCCAGCCAGGCCCCGTGTTGCAGATGGATCCTCGGCATGATTCGTTGCCACATTCACGAACAAGGGCTTGAAGGCATGTGTATATGACCCTCGTCTACTGGTATAGACATCCCAGCTGCATCCACTTCCAGGCCTCCCAGATCACTTACGAAGGTCACCCACGAGATGCGAGTGGGTGACCGCATCGTCCTCCAAGGGACCCATCGGGGCACTATTAGGTACATAGGCAGTGTACCCAATCAGGCTGGGGAATGGACGGGCGTGGAGTGGGACGATGCCTCCCGAGGAAAGCATGACGGCTGTGTGGCCGGTCAGAGACTGTTCACATGTCAGCGGCCTGGGACTCCAGCGACCTTCGTGCGCTCCCGGAAGCTGGTAGAGTCTCTCCTCCCCGTGATGAGCCTCCTGGAGGGCCTGAGGGAGAGGTACTGCAGGGATGAGGCCCCCAGCCTGGACCTGCCGTCCCCCGGCCAGCACCCCAAAGGGCGGGGTGTGGTGGTCATGGGCAGGGCTGACCTCCTGGCGGCAGCCTCGGACTTGACCATGCTAGCCCACGCCAGCGTTCTTGGCATGCACGTCGCCGCCAGGGTGAGCTCAGGGCAGGTCGATTGCTACCTCGGAGGTGATTTTCGTACAACATCCCTCCAACCACACAGAGTTTGTTCCCAATACATTTCGCAGGACCCCCCTGATGACCTGTCCCAGGCTCTGCCCAGCCTACAGGACCTGGATGCCGGCGATACCCTGCTCGGAAGCTGGCACGCGGCTGCCACGGCGCTCTCGAGCCTGCCCGCGCTGCGCACGCTGAGCCTGGCGGGGACACGGCTGGAGGCGGTCCCCGCCCTGCCGCCCCCGCCGCCCCTCCCTGCCCTGCGGACCCTGGTTCTGTCCAGCACGGGGGTGGGCTGGGGGGGCGCGCTGCGGATCGGTCGCTCTCTGCCCTCCCTCGCCGCGCTGTGCCTCTGCGACGAGAGCGTGGAGGACGTGAGCCCTGCTGAGAAGGGTGAGTGCGACCTGACGGCCACCTTCCCTGCTCTGGAGTCCCTGGATCTGAGCGGGAACCTCCTTGCCAGCTGGCGGCAGGTGGCAGCCCTGGCCACCCTCCCGTCGCTCCAAACCCTCAACCTCACGGGTAACCCCTGGGGCAGCAGTGGCGACGACAGCGACTGCGCAGTGCCCTGCCCCCCTGGCTTCCGCACGCTGCGTACGCTACTCCTGGGCGGCACCCGCGTGTCCAGCTGGAGCCAAGTTCAGGCCCTGGACGGCCTGCCAGCGCTGGCCAGCCTTCGCCTGACTGACACGCCCCTGTGGACTCGGGCCCCCGCCACCGCACGAGCCCAGACCATCGCCCGACTGGGGGGCCTGGTGCAGCTCAACGGCAGCCAGGTGGCGGCTGAGGAGCGGAGGGATGCTGAGCTGTGGTACCTCCGTAAAGTCACTGGTGGGGTGGCGACGGGGGAAGAGTTGAGGGCCCTGAATGCGGCTGAACTCGTCGGAGGCAGGGGTTGGCCGACGCCCTGTGTGATGAGGCGCTGCACCTCTGCCTGGCCCATGCCTGATGAGCACAGGGTCATCGCCCTCCCCCGCCCTGCTCATCAGATGAGCTGGCTGCGAGCCCGCAGGATAAAGAGGGCGTGCTCGCCTGCCACCCCCGCTACCCCGCTCTGCTGCAAGCACTGGGGGCCCCTGCCCCTGCCCTGGCTTCCAGGGGGACTGGGCCAGGGTCCAGCCGGCTCCTGGAGATCGCCCTGCACCATGAAGAGCGTGTGGTCATCAAGCGCCTGCCAGGTGCTGCTTGTCGGTGGAGGAAGTCGGATGAATGCGGGCCCATCGGTGTCTAGATAGTTTCATAGGCAACCAAGAGCTGCACGCTGCGATGGGAAACAGCCGGGGGTCAGATCCTGCCGCCTGCACCCTGCGATCCGACTCCCGCACCGCCTCCCAACGCAGAGTCGCTGACGGTGCAGAGGCTGCGGGCGCTCATCGAGCGACTGATGGGCGTCCCTGCGGCAGCACAGAGGCTGGTCCTGGAGACCGGCGAGGGGCACGAGGACATCAGTGCGCACCTCGGACGCCAGCTGGCAGCCTTCAGCATCACCCCGGGCTCCAGGCGGGTAGTGGGCAGGGGAGTGCTGTCTGGGAGGCCATGGCAGTCCTGATCTGTGATCATCCCTGGGGAGATCAAATTCCGAGTCCTATCTTGAAACTGAGCCCGCGCCAAATGGGCATGCATTTGGTTGCTAGGTCAGCCATGCTGGAAGCCACTTGCCAACGAGCACTGAGCGCCCTGACCACCCCCTGAACCGCTTTTGAACCCCCAAACTGCACAGGATTATGGTATCATCAGTCAATCCCGACCAGATCAGAGGGCAGCAGGCTCTGCAAGCAGCACGCGCGCATGATGCACTGGAGCGCCGCATGATGGAGCAGGAGAATCATTTGCAGCATTTACACTTGGAGGAACGGCGTTTGATGGGCTGAAGTGGGCTATCAGGTGTCAGTCTCGTGACCATGCAGGATACCCAGAATGAGAAGCTTGAGCGCATTCTATCTTGTTACAATGAGGCGTGCTGCTAGGTGTATCACAAAGTGCATGGGCAAAGCGAATGGTGTGTGCCTTGGAACCTTGCTGCCAGGACACACTTCCTTGTCAGCTTGCCCTGCCTGGTACTTCCTAACATCATGATTTGCTCCCATACCATCGCTCCACTCGAGATGCAAAGGATCTTGGACAGAAAGAGCTTTATATTGGCCTGCATACCCAGCCCCTGGCTTGACACTTTCCTGTTGGTAGGACAGAGCTTCCTCTTCTAAGGTCAATCTCCAGGCGCCCTTTCACGCACAACCCATGCGCAGCACGAGCAGGGGAAGAGGAGCCTGCTTCGTCCCTCATGCAGACCCATTTCGTACATGTTGACTCAAGGCATGCATCATAATGCTGCTGCAAAGGGTATCTTTCAGAGACTGAGGTGGCAACAAAGAGGGCAGGGCGCTCCACCTCTGGGTGTCCGCCTCGTTGCGGGCCCCACACAGGTCGGTTCACCTTGAAGCTCACCAATGCCCTGCGGTCCTGTTCAGACTATTATTTTCGGCACACAATCGTTGCGGAAAACTGAGCATGGCACAAGCAGCTTGAGGTTCCTTGGACGAGGAAGTGGTAGAGCGAATCGGAGGGGAATGTCGTACTCGGCTAGCCATGGCTACAGGAGCATCGCCGAGCTGGCAAGGTGTGGCATTACATAGGGCATGAAAGGGTGTGGGCGGGCATGTAATGTGGACATCTATAGAGGTCGGAGCGCATGGCTATGATCGAGATCCCGTCTGCATCCCTGCACACGCCATGCAGCCAGGCTCCCAACTTCACCCTGGGCATACTGGGGGACCTGCACCTGTCACCGGACAGACAGATGAGACTGTTCGAGGAGGCCAAGGATCAACTTGTGACAGTCTTAGAGTCCCAACAGGCCAAGCTGGGGGGCGGCACTGCCTGCCAAGCTGGCTTGATACAGCTCGGGGATGTGGGTGGATATCACCACCAGCCAGGCTCACTGGCGTGCTTCCAGCGTTGCCGGGACTGGTTGGCAGGCTTCGACCTCCCGGTCGCTCTCATCACTGGGAATCACGACCTTGGTGAGTGCCCTCTTGTGGAGCACGCTGCATAGGATGGCTGAGGGTACTAGTGCATGGGCGATGCCCACACTGTCGTTGCCGATGTGGCAGCTGCACTCTGTTTCTTTTATGACCGCCCAAAAGGAGGCCCTTTTCCACACCCTTTCCCAACTCCCCCAGAGGGTCTTGAGTTCAAGACGGATGCCTTGAATCTCGCGGCCTGGCAGGAAACATTCCAGCAGGAGCACCACTGGCGGGTAGATGTGGGGCCCGCCATCCTCTTGGGCCTCGGCACGTCTCGCTTCAGGAGTAACCAACACTCTGCACATGAAGTAAGACACGTGATAGGTGCACTGGGCTCGTGAATTGGTACATGCTGGTTGGTAAGATATCATCCCAGTCTTTCTCCATCACTCGGGCACGTCTTCTGCCCCTTGCCACAACCGTAGGTTGGAAGTGCATTTCACCGTTGTACCCTACCTCACCCTCTCGTCAGGTCCATGTGGACGCAGAGCAGTTGGCCTGGTTCAGGAATCAACTGGATGCCTCACAGGGTCGCCCAGTCATCGTGTTCAGCCATGCGCCCATTCTCGGCAGCGGCGTCAGGGTGGGTCGCTGGCGGGCTGGCGGCTTGGGTCGACGGTCGACCCGTCAGCGATCTTGCTCCAAGGAATGCAGAGGTTGCAGTTTCATGGGTGCATGCCGCCTCCCAATCAAGAACCGGCAGTACATTGCATGCACTGTGCCATGGTACAGTAGCACAACAGAGTAAAGCTGACCTTCCACGCAGTCCGTGCTGGATGTCCACGTCAAGAATCGATGCGCCTGGCTTAACCACAGCACCAACCCCCATGTGTTCATGGAGCTGGTGGAGTCCCACCCCAACATACACCTGTGGTTCAGCGGGCACTTCCACCTCAGCCACAACTATGCAGGTGTGGTGGGGGTGCGGGGTAGAAATCGAGTGCGTCTGAGCCTGGCATCCATTCGCATGCACATTTATTTTGGGCTGCGTCTGCATTGCTGTCGCTCAACTGCACGAGCCAGAAGGTGGATGTATTCCTTGCTCCCAGCCTCCTCCTCTCCCAAGCACAGACAGCATATCGGTGGTGGGTCGAACAGCCTTCGCCACGACAGGTGTCATCGGCAAGGCCAATCGGGATGGCTTCAGGCACTCCTGGGTCCTTTCAGGTATGAAACTCATTGCAGCGGTGGGCCTGAAGTGTATGTTGGGTGAGGGTGAAGGCAACCCCACCCTCCTCCACGTGCCTGACAACCAACAACCACCTTTCCCGCTACCTCTTTGCAGCAACACCCACAGAGTACAGACTGCAGACTTTGGACCATGGCACTGGCAGACTGAGGCTGGACCTTGTACAAGAATGGTGCGAATCAGTGATGTTGATGCCTTCAGTGCTTGATGGATGTACCATGTCAACAGCACAAACCATTGCGCGTGCCGGACCTCAGCCCACCTTCATGGGTGCTGAGACGATCCATGGCGCTTCCACCGCCCTCCAATGGAGGCATGCGTGTCTTCGCCTGCGTGCCAGACGCGTCCCATCATCCCTTCCCCAATCTCCTGCCAGGGGGAGCAGGGCAGCGCCAGCCCCTCGTCCAAACAGAACAAACCTGCTGAAAGCCCCATCAGTCGTGTACGGTGGTGACCTGAGCATGTAGATGTGCATGCAACCCATTGGGCCTGAGGTGTGGCTCTCCACCAAGTGAATCCCCCCTGAGAAACAAGCCTGCCTGGTGCCACGACCCTGCCAAGAACAGGGGCGCATGCCTGTGTGTCAGCCAACCCTCCCCAGGCCGACACCCTTCCACTCCCATCCTGTGCAGACCCGTGATGTCTGCTCTGCCTGGGCTCCAGTTCGAGGGAGGGGAGGCGCTAGAATCCACAGCAGCACAGTGGTTTCAGATTGGGAACGGCGCCGTCTTAGGAAGGAAGGTCGGTCTGGTTGTTCTGGTGTTTGTCGTCGTAGGGCCGTGGGGATACGTACATGACTCACACATAATTGGCAACTACCGAGCGAGCGGGCGTTAACCCTCCGCTATTTCCCGCTCACCGACATTTGCACCCCCCTGCATGGATCGCAGGAGGGCCTGCTGGTGGAATATGAGGCAGCCTCGGCATCGCCCATCGGAGTCGTGCTGACTGACCTCGAGGATGATCACCAGGTGCCCAGGAATGACAAATATGTCTGTGATCGGCCTGTGTGTTGGGGGGCTCAGTGGCAAGTGCCCAGCTGGGCGCCATCCCATCGCCGCAACCAACCGTGCTATCACTCACCCTACCTCCCGTGTTACCAGATACGATTCAGGGGCGCGGACGGTGGGATCCTGTCGGGCATCGCGCTCGACGAGGCCACAAGCTTGGAAGTGCATGGACCGGAGGGAGACGGGGCCGCAGAGGTCGCGGTGCTGCACTCCATCCCCCGGAATGCGCAAGGGACATTCTACCAGGCGAGGATGGAGGCGACTCTGTGGCTGAATGCATTGCTCGGGGTGGTGAAATGCTTCGGATGTGCAGCCAAACCCTGGAGAGACTGGCGTACGGCATGGATGGACTGTTGGGCACCCCCCTTCCCATCTCGAATACCTCCATGCCCATCCTCTACCACTCACTACCCCCTGCAGATTTTCCAGCGGAACAAGTGGCAGCTGCGGCTGGCAAAGGAATCTGCCACCAAGGCCCACCCTGTCGCAACCAGCCAGTGATTTCCAGGGCTGCAAGTCCCTACCCCACTGCTGAAGCAGGTTTTATAGATCCTACACTCACACAAAATTGTGGGACATGGGAATGTCACGGATGAAGAGGGGTGGGACCATTCCAGGGCAGCAACATATATACAGGGGTGGGAGCGAGCCCTCATACAATGGCAATGTTGGCACAGCGTCAGGCCCTATAGGCATGCGTCTTTGGTGGCCGGGGGACCAACCCTTCAGAGGGTCGCCGTGTGCCAAGACGCGTCCGACTCCTCGGCCTCCCCCCCCCCTGCAGCAGAACCGCGCGCTCTGGCCATCCCCGCCCCGCACATGCGGTCGCCGCCGAACTCGAGCGCGGCGCCCTCGATCTCCACCACCTCCACCAGCTCCCGGTCCCCCCGCCACCACCCAGGCGTGCCCTCGTACAGCTCAACGGTGAGGCTTGCTCGGTACGCCTCCACCGCCGTGCCCGGCTCGAAGCCCTCCGCCATGGGGCAGGTCACGTGCCCAAACAGGCCTGGCGGGGCGCGCGCCGTCACCACCGCCGTCTGCCCCGTCCAGGGCGAGTGCGCGGTGAGGCGCAGCGTGGCGTTGCAGGGATCCGCCTCTGCTGTGAAGGAGGTGGGGTCCTGGGGCCGGAAGTCCCACTCCCGCCCGCCTGGCGAGCGCACGCCCAGCAGCCAGGCGTCCGGAACCAACCGCCCTGGCAGCACTGGGGTTGGCAGCTGGCCGCCCGCCAGCGCCACGGCGGCGCGGGGCCGGGACGGGTCTCGACCCGGCGCCAGGTCCAGGCCCTGGGCCCAGGCCCAGCCGGGCGGAAAGGTGCCGCCCCAGTTCTTCTCAAAGTGCGCCAGGCCGGCGCCCGTCACGGTCTCACCGCTGGAGTCGTTGCGCAGGGACCAGGCCACAGGCGTGCCCAGGGAGTAGACAAACCAGTGCAGGCCCACCAGCTGGGTTGGGAGGCCGGAGATGCCGCCTTTGGAAAGGGAGGTTTGAGGTAGTTCACAGATGGGACCTGGCAGGCCGGCCGCGCTCGGCAGCTTGACAAGTGGCAGCAAAGCCAGGCTGCAACACACACAGCCCGACCCAATGCCAGGCCCCTGCTGGCCCCTGCTGCAGATCAGTACCGCCCAGCCCACCTTCCGGGGACTCGTCGTTGGGGCCCCAGCGCAGGGGAGGGCCAGTGCAGCGTGCGTCCATGGTCAGCCCACCCAGTGTCACATGCAGGGCGCACTGCTCCCCCCGCATGTGCAGCAGGGCGGTACCGTCGTCCGCCACCACCGAGAAGTCCGGGGGGGTGTGGGGCTCGGGGTCCCGCACCACGGTTTGACCACCGGCCCCCGTGACCGACAGCTGCACACCCGTGCTCTCGAAGGTCTGTAGGGCCCGGCTGCCCTGCTGCACCAGCAGGCTCGCCAGGGAGATGTTCCAGCCCAACCTCCCGCGAGGCATGGTGCCCACGATGAGGCCCAGGGAGGAGGGCAGGACCGGGCCCGTCCCGTCGTCTCCTCCCTCGCCCTCTGGCTGTGCGGTCGTGATCCGGACATACCATCCCTCGAACCAGGTTCGGAAGGCGGGATCGTACATTGTGGGGACATGTGGATCGTACAGCGAGGCCCGGGCGGGGGTGGGAGCCAGAGCCGCGAGTCCGCAGAGCAGGAGCACCCCCGCAAGCCTGGTCATCGTGGTCATGACCTATGCCATTTCCCCTCGACAATGCATACAGTGGTCTGTAATGGTAAATTGTGGCCGGTCACTGGGTCGATGTGAGAACCAAGCCAGCGATCTGAGCGGAATCGATGTCACAACTTCGCGGCAGAGGGTCCGTGGAGCCGGAAGGCAGGGAATAACAATGAGAAGGGTTTGGTCGCAGCCACCATGTCCATGGCAAGGGTGATAGATCAGGGAGGTATACCTTTATAGGGGAAAAGGCGAATTGTGCAAGCTATATCATCGTTCAAGGGGTTCCAAGACAACCCCCCGCATCACTCATCGTCCAGCACGTCAAAGTCGACGTCGATGGTGCCAGTGGGACTCACTCGTGGGCCGAGGTCCTTGCCGAAGCGCCTCGCCGCACGGCCGGCGGCCTCAGCCTCGCCCCGCGCGCGCCGGGCCCCCTCCTCCGCGCCGCGCTGAGCCTGGCGGGCGGCGCGCTGTGCACGCTGGGCCTCACGCTGCGCCCTGTCCTCGACATCCACCAGGAAGGAGCGGCCCTGGTTGAAGGTGGAGCTCAGGTCCTCCGAGAAGGTGGCCATCCGCTCCTCCATGTCTGCCATCCAGCCCCGCCTGCCCCGCGGCCGGGGCTCCGGCAGCGGCTCCTCCCCCCGCAGCTCCCGATTGGCCGCCAGGTGGGTGTTGATCAGCCGCGACAGCCATTCCTGCTCCTCCAGCCCCAGGCCCTCACCCAGGACCACCTTGCGTGTGCCTGGAAATTTAGGATTGTGTAATGAAGGGTGGGGGGGTTATAGACGAGGGTCTCCAAATTTGACAAATGTTAACCTACGCAGACAAAATTGACGGCCGGGAGCAGGAGCATCATCTCCCACCGAAAACACGCTCCCTATGAACAGAGCCTGCCCGCCACCCCACCCCCCCCACACACAGAATTCATCACCGCCCACCTTCCTGGAGGACGAGCTGGGTCTGGGGCTGACCATTCACGTACCCCGCCACCACCAGGCCGGCGCGGGAGAGGTCGCTGGAGCGTCCGCCCACCTCTTTGACGCCGGAGCCGTCCCACTGAGGCTGGCCACCGCGGAACAGGGCCAGCTGCTGCTTGACATTCCACTTCTTCAGCCCTATCTGGAGCCGCTCTCTGTTGAGGGTTGGGTGGTGAGGAAGACGAGGGGATGCGGCTCTCCGTGGTTTCATCAGGAAGCCAGAGGTTGAGAGGGATTCCGGGTGGCACAGCGGCTTTAACTCGTGAGAAAGGCGTTCGAGAGGGTATGCGACACTAGGACCTGGCATGCGCTGACACAGACAGTCTTCTCAAAAAAACACCTCGTGGCTCCACCCCCGCCCACCTGAGGAACTGGCCGGCCAGGGCCGCTCTGGAGAGTTTCAATCCTGCCGCCCAGAAGGGCAGGGAGAAGAGGGCGAAGAGGATGCCGCCTCCCGCCAACGCGCTCACCGTCCAGAAAGCCACAAACGCGTTCCAGGCCAAAGCAAAGGCGGCGCTGGGCAGCGAGTCGCCTGCATGAGAGGTGGAGGGTGTGTGGGAGGTGGGTGAGGGTTTGAGATTGGGGGCAAGCATCGGCAGTGGCAGGGCCAGGCCATCGGCCAAGTCTTGTGGGCAGACTCGTGCAGCAGCGGCATGTCGCGCCACAAACTCTGCAAGGCGGTGACCTTCCCGTTGCTGCTGGACCCCATACACCTTGAGTTCCCATGGCTGTCCTGTGGGCTCCGCGCAGTCAGCTGACGCCCCCAGGCACACCAGGCCGCCTGAGCCGAGACAGCCCCGACCATAAAGTCCCATCACACACAGACACACACCCTTCCACCCCCTCGTCATGCTCCACCCACCAGAGAACCCGGGCGGCGGGATGTCGATCTCCAGGCGCGGCCCGCGGCGCGTGACCTGGACCCTGCTGCCCGCTGGCCGCCCGGCCTCGGCGTCGTCCCGCTTCCGCGCCCCCACCGCGCGCGCCCGTCCGCCCTCCAGGATCTCCTGCGCCTCCTCCACGCTCAGCCGGTCCTCGGCCATGGGCTCCAGCAGGCCCTCCACCAGCGCGCGCAGGCGCGGCGACATGGCGGTGGCGCGCGTGCTGACGCGCATGCGGTCGGACGCCACGGGCGCGCGCCCCGTCAGCAGGAAGAGCAGCGTGGCGCCCAGGCCGTACAGGTCGGAGGCGGGGGAGGCACCCCCCGCAAACTGCTCCGGGGCCATGAAGCCATAGGTGCCCACCACCGTGCTGCCGGGGAGGAAGCCCGACCCTAGGCCGTCGCTATCCTCCCCCGCCCCCGCGGCGACGGCCTGCACGCCTCCGAAATCCACCAGGGACAAGCGGCCATCTGCGTCCCCACGCTGCGCGACGATGTTGGAGGGGCTGACGTCGCGATGCACCACGGCAGGGCGGCGGTCGGCGAGGTAGGCCAGCACCGCCAGCACCTCTCGCGCGACGCGCAACACCTGCTCCTCGCTGGGGGACCAGCCACTGCGCACCAGCTCCGCCAGCGACTTGCCCGGCGCCAGCTCCTGTGGTTTTGTGGGGGGTGGAAAAGGGGATGATGAGGTGGAGCCGCGGAGCCTGGGAGGAGAGGAGCGGCAGGCCCCCCGGGTACGATGCAGCAATCCAGCAGGGTCATCGCGAATCTATAAGAGGCCCTGGATCCTCACGCAAGAGCCCCAACATGAAGGCGCCTCAGCGACAGCGTGACCACCCACTTGGATGAGCAGGAAGCGGCGGTCGTCGGGCGTGTCCTCCTCGCAGTATCCCAGGTACTGGGGGATCCCGGGGTGACGCAGGCCCTTTAGCGCGGCGGCCTCCCTCTCAAACAGGTCCAGCTGTTTCCAGGAGCGCAGGGAGCGCAGGGACAACGCCTTCACCGCCACCTCCTTCTGGGTCTCCAGATCCTTGCACTGTAGTTGGTGCATGGGATGGAGGGAAGCAGGGTAGGTGACTGGGCACCCTGGGAGTCGTGCGCTCTGGGCAGCGGGCACAGCCAGCATCCCTGCAGCTGCTTCCTCACCATGCACGACCATTCATCAAGCACCGACCTTGTACGTGATGCCGCTGGAGCCAGAGCCCAGCGTCTCCAGGATCTCATACTTTCCATTGGCGAGGAGCCCTCCAACAGGGAGCTCTGTGATGGCGAGCGGGGTGCAGCTGTGATCCCTGGGGGCAAATTCTGTATGCATACCCCTCGTCAGGATAACTGATCGGCGCAGCTCTCGCTGCATCATGCCCACCTTGAACCAACTTGGGTCTGAAAGCGGTCTCAGGTTTCTCTGTGCTCTCCGCACGGACATAAGGCAGCCTCCGATTGTCTGTCGATAATGTAAAATGTCAGTTTTATTCCACCAAACAGCTCCTATGAAAGCCCTCTGCACTTCACCTCGCAACTCGATGCCCACCCGTAGCACTCACAAAGTGATCCACCGAGGTGTAGGCGGGGTCTTGCGTGACGCCCCTTCAGCGCACCAAAGGCTGTATATGAGTAGTTTGAATATTAGATGTGTCAGCTAATGGAAATATTGAAGAGGATATGGGGCTGCACGTCCCACCCATTGATGTCTAATGCACATACCTGTGGCCTGGAAGGGTCGAAAGCATGCATTGGCAGGACATGCAGCCAAGCCCTGCTGCACAGCCATGTCGCCCTGTTGATGAGGTGTGGAGATCACTGTGTCAGAATAAGAGTGCCTTCCAACTCAGCGTCTGAGCGCATGTCCACGGTGGCCGGCCCCCCTGGGGGGGCAAGACCTTTGCGTGTCCTGGTGGTGGAAAGCCCCGGAAGGATATCAGGGCGGGAGAGACCGACGGGGCTTATCCGGACTGCCCTTGCCACCAACGAGCACTCCAGCACCGACAGGGACCTGTTCAACCATAGCCATTTTTGTTTTTGGTGCCTTTTATATCCCAGGGCTACTTTTGGTGCCTTGGATTGCTGTCACCTCCCGGCACGTGAGGCTCGGACGCACAGTAGCTGCCAGTGCCACATTGCGAACATGGGCAAGAAGACACGGAGCACCCCGACTTCACCGGTTGCCGCACCTCAGGTGGATGGATGCGGCATGCATGGGATGATGGGGGCCTTGGGACCCGGACAGCTCTCTGTGGTCCGATGCTGACGAGGGAGCTCTGCCGGCACAGCGTTGCCTGGTGTGTGGCCTGGCCGATGCGCCCATCCATCGGATGCGTGCTCGTATTCGTTCTAGTATATCATTCATTCCATATGAGCATTGATGTGTCCGCGCACGCCTCGCCTCCATGGCTCCGTGCGGCCAAGTTGCACCCCATTGCCCTGCCTCCAGGAGGAGGCAGCCTCCCTGGCCTCCCTGAAGGACGAAGCCAACATCGCCTTTGCTAAGCGGGAGTACGATCATGCCCTGGCAACCTGGGACCGCGCCCTGAAGCTGGCGCCTTCGGGCAGCACCGATGCGGCGCTGCTGCATTCCAACAAGGCTGCCTGCCACATGATCAACAAGCGGTGAGGATGAGGTTCGGGGCAGCACCATTCCTGTTGGACATCATGTATCGTCCGCACGTCCCTGCCCTCATCGTCTGAAATGCTGGGCCTTGCATGCGAGTCTCCCGGCTACGCCAACTGCCAGAATGCGCCCCCCCATCCCTCCGCCTTCTGTGCAGCTTCAAAGAGGCTGTGAATGAGTGCTCCACAGCCCTGGAGCTGCAGCCCTCCTTCTTCAAGGCCCTGGTGCGGCGCGGCAAGGCCTACGAGCAGATGGGCCAGCTGAAGAATGCGCTGACGGATCTACAGCGTGCCAACAAGCTGGATGCCGCCACCCAAGAGAGCAAGGTGGGGAGGGAGTGGAGGGATTTTTGGATACCAAAATTGTCCGAGAGATCATCTCAGAAGTATGGCGAGGATGGGGTTCTGCCATTGCCTGCGCAGAGCTCCACTCTGTCCCTCCTCCCCCGACTTGCAGGAAGCAGAGCAGCGGTTGAGGGACGCCGTGGCCGGCAAGAAGCCATCCGGCTTGGGCAACGGCCTGGGCCCCCGCCGCACAGGCGGAGCGGCGGGCTCGGGCAAGGCCCCCGCCCCCTCTCGCCAGATCGTCTTCCCGGCCAAGCTGTCTTTCGAGGATGACGTGCGCGCCCTGCAGCTGGTCCCCGGAGTCACGTATCTGGAGCTGATCGAGCATGTCCGCCAGCTCTTCCCCGCGGCCAGCCCCTTTGTGCTCAAATACCTGGACAAGTGAGCGTGGTTGGTGGCCATTGTGAGAGTGTAGGGGCGGGGAGGCAGTCGGTATGCGTGGTCCGCTGCATCTGTGTGGCCCATGCTTGAGCAGGGAGGCTGACAGTTGTCGCGCACTGTTGCTCTGTCACGACCGGCCCCCCCCCCCTTCCCTGATATCCCTGCTCAATGTCCACCCCTCCCTGCTCCAGGGAGGGTGACCTGGTCACCATCGGCTCCCGTAACGACGTCCAGAGGGCCATGCAGGAGGCGGTGGAGACCGCGTCCCGCTCATCTGGGAACCGCGGCCCCGTCACCCAGGCATCCCTGGCGCCCATACGCCTGCAGGTCGTCCGCGTCTCCAGCGAGGTGTGTGGAGGGGCGCCGGGGGTTTTTCATGCGCCTTAAGAAGTTTTGGCGCGGATGTTTGGGGATTGGCTAGGTGGGGGGAGGTGTTTTGCTCCGGCACACAGCAGTAGTGTCGTAGTGTTCTGGGCGGAGATCCCTCGTTCCATCTTTGATCAGCGATGGCGTGGCACCCCACAGCACAGCACACTGACGCATCGGTATCCTTCTCACACCCCGAACACCCCTCCCCACCCACACACCCAGGACCAAGTGCCCAAGGTGCCAGAGGACGAGCTGGCGTACGTGCAGCAGATGCTGGCGCAGCTGCAGAAGGCGCAGGCGGCGCGCGGCGGCGCGGCCGAGCCCGAGGCCGCGGAGCCCGAGGCCGGCCCCGTGCAGGTGGACGAGTGGATCCTGTCCTTTGTGGACCTTCTGAAGGAGCACTGCGGCATCGATCCCGACCGCCCCCTGGAGGCGTCGGAGGTGGGCAACGACAAGCTGCAGGCCGCCTTCCAGGAGATGATGGAGGGCGACCCCAAGGCCGACACCCTGCTGGACGCGGCGCTGGAGAAGTTCGAGGACCAGGTCTGCTTCGGCATGTACAACCAGGCCACGGTGCACCAGTACCGTGCGGAGTTTGCCATGTACCGCGCCGCGCGCGCGGGCGAGCCCGCCTCCAGCGTGGCGGAGGAGGTGGAGCGCCACCTGGCACGCGCCGAAGCCAAGCACGCCGAGGCGCTGGAGTACAAGCCCACCTTCCTGGACGGGTACCTGGGGCAGTCCAGCGTGGCCCAGAGCCGCGCCAAGCTGGCGGCAGACTACCTGCTGGAGCCGGTGCGGCCGCGCGAGGACCTCAAGGACGCCGCCGAGCGCGCCGCTGCGGAGGAGGCGGCCAACCGCGCCGCGCAGGCCAAGGCGTTTCAGCGCGTGAGTGCCGAGTCGGCGCAGGCCGCGGAGGCCTTCATGGACGCCAGCTACGCGCTGATCGGGGCCGCCATCGACCACATGTCGGAGGAGGAGCGGGGGAAGGAGGTGAAGCCGATGCGGCCCACTGCGGAGCAGACGCCTGGCGACCCGGAGTCGGAAATGCCGGTTAAGGCCTCCCTCCTCATCAACCTGGGCAACGCGCACTACGAGCACTCCATCCTGCGCGCCGCGGGAGGGCTGGACTGGAGGCCGCTGGTGGAGAAAGCCGCCGCCAAGTTCCGAGAAGCTGGTGAGGGAGTTGTCTGGGGGACGAGGGGAGGTTGGGGGGAAGAAGGGAGGTTGGGGGAAGAAGGGAGGTTGGGGGGAAGAAGGGAGAGTGGGCCAGGCATGGTCAAGCGGGATGATGTCTATAATGAAAGTGTCGAGATGCTGGCCATGTACCTCCTCCTTTCGCCATTTGGGAGGACCAACTTCTTCTTGCTGATCTCTTGCCCTGAATCCCCAGCTCATAGGCACTCGCCCTCTTTCACCCCCCTTGCAGGTGCGCACCAGGTGGACATCCGCAATGCGCTCAAGGGCCACCCGTTGTCCGAGGAGCTGGCGGACTTGATAGGGCCCGAGCCGGAGGAGCCGGAGGTGTCCCAGGATGCACCCACGGAGGAGAGCACCACCGCGCCCAAGGGTCTGCCCGCGCTGCCGAGCAAGTCGAAGAAGAAGGAGGCCGAGGCGGCGGCCTGATCGGAGCGGCGCCTGCGCTGTGCCTCAGGCGCGCACATTGCCTGCCGGGCGCACGGCCCGTCCCCTTTCGGCCGCTGCAGCCGCTGGTGATGAGGCTCAGTCTGTGTTGCCAGAGTGGCACCGAATCGCACCCCAGTTGTCTGTTGAGTCAAAGCTGCAATGCAGGAGCCCGACTTGTGTGGGCAGCCGGGATGTTGATGCTTTGGAGAGCAGGGAGGGGCCCAAATGGGTTGTCAGTGTCAATTGCCCTCTGGAGCAGGGGCCCATCCTTCTTCCAGAATGCTCGACGTTTTCGACAAAGGAAGCCAAGGGTTCCTGACAAACGGCATACTTGCAGGGGCAGCATGCACGAGCAGAGATGCCTGGCCATGGGTGCCTGCAGCAGGTCTGCCGGAGTGGACAAGGCTTTCGATGTCATGAAGCAGCGCCAGGCCTCGCCTCGCAGCAGCGATCCTCGCTCGCCTCGACCTCAGGGCAGGGCCTTGGTCACGATCTCGTACACATTGGCAGAGATGCCGTTGGCAGAGGCCATGCGGCGCAGGGCGGCGGTCATCAGAGCGCCACGCTCGGCATCGTAGTTACGCCAGCTGTTGAAGACACCCACCATCCGTGCGGCCACCTGGCAGGGTGAGGGGGGAATTGTATGGGGGTTTGGCATTGCGAACGCAAGGCTAGTGATGCTGGCACGCACTTCTGGGGCAGGGGTGATGCTGAACAGCACACAAACGTTCCTTTGCCAGTCAGAGCGTCAAACCCATATCTCCCCGCACCTGGTGGTTGATCTGGTCGATCTGCAGCACCGAGTCAGCCATGAACTCGTACCCCGAGCCGTCGGCTGCGGAAATGGCAAGGTTGTGGGGAGGATGGACGTGAGGCCACCGCTTTGATGGGCTCAAACGGAGCACAGAGGCAGTGCGGGAAGTCTGCCACTCCCCTGTCATCCAGGATCGGACCCACACAGGAATGGTGTGGCGGTCTGCGGCCTCGCCCAATCATGGTGTGGGTGACCACACCATGAATCGCACGGCACGGTGGAAACCCCAACTCCCCACCTCCCCAAAACTACCCCTCATCATCACCCCCTCACCTGCGTGGAAATTGACGGGGGAGCGCGCAAAGGCCAGGAAGAGGGAGTAGCAGGTGTTGGGGTTGGACAGCTTGACCGCCTCGTGCTGCATCAGGGTCCGCACCGCCGCCGTGTTGCCCGGCAGGTTGCTGGCCGCCTGCATGGCGATCCACTTGAGCAGGACCAGCGGCTCGTGCTTCCACTTGGCGTAAAAGGCGTCCAGCGCCTCCTGCCGCACCTTGCCCCCTGGAGGAGCGGGGGGAGGGATGGAGGGATGCACATCACCGACGCGCTGCCCCGGTGCCGCTCCACGACGAGGAAGGCTCTGTTCGTGCCCTGCCCACGTGGTGAAGCGCGCGACCCCCCCCCTCCCACACCAATGCCCCACATCCAAGGCCTCACCGATGCGGTCGAGGGCGGCCAGGGCGGCGGCCTCGTCGGTCATGTTGGTGGCCGCCCGGAAGCGCGCCAGCAGGTCCTGCGTCACGCCCTCGCCCCCCAGCCGCGCCAGGGCGCCCAGCGCGGCGTTCTTCAGCGCGCGCCGCGCGCAGGCCCCCGCCTCAAACTCGTACGGCGCGCCGGGCGGGTCGGAGTTGTCGCGCGCCGCGCGCTCCAGCTCGGGCCGCAGCGCCGCCGCCAGCGCCCGCGCAGCCGCCTCGCGGACGTGGTGCAGGAGCAGGGGGTCGGCGCCCGGCACCTCCGGCACCAGCTCCGCCAGGTCCGGCAGCGCCAGCGCGTGCGCCTTGAACTGGCCGTCCAGGCGGGGGTCGGCCAGCAGCGCGCGCAGCGCGTCGGCCAGCCCCGCGTCGGCCTCCCCCGCGGCGCGCGCGGCGCGGGCCTCCGCGCCGTCGCCCGCGCCGTCGGCGACGGCGGCGCCGTACCGCTCCAGCACCAGGGCGGTGCCGAGGCGCTGCGCCGCCTCCCAGCGGTTGAAGGCGTCGGCGTCGTGGGCGAGGAGGAAGAGCAGGTCCTCGCGGCTCTGCCCGCGCACCGTCAGGCGCACCGGCGCGGAGAAGCCGCGCAGGACGCTGGGCACGGGGCGCGCCGGGACGCGCTCAAACACCCAGGTCTGACGCTGGTGCTCCAGGCGCAGCACCGCCTCGGAGCCGCCGGCGGGGTCGGGGCCGGGCCCGGAGCGCAGGTGCAGGGGCTGCTGGGCGCCGTCGGCGCCCAGCAGCCCAAGGCGGATGGGGATGAGGAGCGGCGGCGGGGAGTCGCCCTGTTCACCTGCCTGAGCATCGCCTGCCCTGCCGTCGTCACCCCCCCCTCCCTGGCCGTCAGCACGGGCGGCGCCTGCGTCGCGGTCACCGTCAGCGTCCCGGCCCCCGCGTCGTGCTCGACCCCGACCTCCACGCGCGGCGTGCCGGCGCGCGCGTACCAGCCCTCCAGCCCCCCCAGGTCGGCGCCGCTGGCGTCGGCCATGGCGGCGCGGAAGTCGTCGCAGGTCACCGCGCCGCCGTCGTGGCGCGCAAAGTAGAGGTCCAGCCCCGCGCGGAAGCCGGCGCGGCCCAGCAGCGCCTCGTACAGGCGCACCACCTCCGCGCCCTTCTCGTACACGGTGGCGGTGTAGAAGTTGTCCATCTTGATCACCGAGTCGGGGCGGATGGCGTGCGCCAGCGGGCCCGCGTCCTCGGGGAACTGCGCCGCGCGCAGGCGGGCCACGTCCTCCACGCGCTTGACGCCGCGCGAGTTCAGGTCGGCGGAGAACTCCTGGTCGCGGTACACGGTGAGCCCCTCCTTCAGCGTCAGCTGGAACCAGTCGCGGCAGGTCACGCGGTTCCCCGTCCAGTTGTGGAAGTACTCGTGCCCGACGACGCCCTCGATGCGCCCAAAGTCCGCGTCGGTGGCGGTGTCGGGCGTGGCCAGCACCAGGCGCGAGTTGAACAGGTTCAGGCTCTTGTTCTCCATGGCGCCCATGTTGAAGTCGTCCACCGCCACGATGTTGAACAGGTCCAGGTCGTACTCCAGCCCAAAAGTCTCCTCGTCCCACCTGGGGAT